TCTCTTGTCAAAAACCTGGGTTGAAAGAGCAAAGACTCTGCAATCGGTCGGATCATCATTGGCCAGTGATAGCAAATTCCATGCCACAGTTTTCACAAACTGCTAAAACCTACAAATATTCCAAAAGAGAATTTCAGCCCACAGTCTATAGTTCCCGCAAGCGGGGGATAGTCGACTATTCCGCTTCAGACCGTTATTCCAGCCCGAAGGAGGGATGCAGGTATAGGGGCCCTCATTCCCTCATTCCCTACGAAGAGCCAGCCAGCAAAAGCCTGAGAAAGCAGTCTGGGGTTGAAGGCCTAGGTTCTCTAGGGTTCCGGGGCTTACGCAGCATATCCAAACCCGCCAGTTTTTTAGTATGTGGTCAGCGTCACGGGGCAGGGATTACGCTACGTCCAACCCTTTCTTTAAGTTCGCAAACCGCGGGCAACCGCAAGTGGACCCTTTTAAAGCCTAATTTCTTCAACCACACTCATCCAGTAAGCTCGAAAGAGCCTGATAACAAACCATACCCCTTGGGCCCCATAGACCCCAAAACCGCAAATCCAACAAAAGCCCTTAAGCGCTGTCCTTTTTCACCCTTCAAACTCTTTAAACCCTTTGAACCCTTTAAACCCTTTAAACCCTTTAAGCCCTTTTAGCCCTTTAAGCCCTTAAGCCCAAAACATTGTACACCCCAAGCCGCACAAGCCACCGCCCAAAACCCTAAACCCTAAACCCCAAACCCTAAACCCCTAAACCCTAAACCTATAAACCACAAACCCTAAACCCTACACCCCAAAGGCCGGCGGAGGAGCTCGAGGCTGTGGCGGGCGGTTCCCGCGCCGGGCTCTGGCTTGCGGCGGCCGGGGGCCCGGCAAGAATTAGGCTGCTCCTTCGGGTTTAGGGTTTAGGGCTAGAGTTTAGGATTTAGGGTTTAGGGGTTTACGGTTTACGGTTTACAGTTTATGGTTTCGGGTTTAAAGGCATAATGCTTGGGGTTTATGTTGCTGCTTTTGGTGAGTGTGTTTTTGGGTTTCTTTTATATCTTGGTGGGTGTGTCTAATTGGTGTGCTGTTGGGGATGTAATGCAAACCGTACTTCATATGAGGGTTGCCAGGGGGGTCCTGATATATGGTCTTCCAACGCGGGGTTCTTGCAGGGCTTCGTTGATATAAGAATGCGAGCGTGCAGGGCTCGTTGTGATTTCAGGGTTTGGGGTTAGGTTTATTTCGACCTTTCCGTTTGTTTTTTCCGGTTTTTAGAACAATTGGTTCAGGGCATTTCACAGGGTTTAGGGTTTAGGGTTGTTGAGGCTGCTTCAGGGTCTTGGCGGGCCTTGTATTTTCAAGGTTCGGTGTATGGGGCTCACGATCAGGGGGATCTGACGCTAAAGGGCTCAGGGCATGGGGCTCCTCACTAGATTGCTCTAAATCTAGGGTCGTGAGGTTTCGTGTTGATGAGGTTTAGGGCCTTCTTAAGGTGCAGGCAAGCCCTTGACCTCTGCACATTCACTTTGTCCGAAACCTAGCCCCATAGTTTAAAACCCGAACACCCTTAGCCAAGACTTTGTGCCTCTCAGAATCTCCAAGCCATTGACCATAAATCCTGAACCTCTACACTCTGAGCCCTTAGTCCTAAACTACTCCTGAATCCTTTGCAGCACGCCAGACTTAGATGCTAGACCCTAAGCCCTACCCTGCAGATGGTACGTCTGATCCTCATCTTCATCTTGAATGGCCATCAAACCTTTGTGTGTTCATCTTTTTTGTTTTCAGGTGTGTTGCTCTATGATTGCAATCAGCAAATATAATTAACCCTCAACCCTAAACCCCTAGACCCCTAGACCCCTAGACCCCAGATAATGAGGTGAACTCGCCGCAGCACGCAGTCATCTCCGGCGAGGCAGGTCCAAGTTGAAGATCAGCGGGGGCGCAGGCCTTGGGGTTTAGGGTTTAGGGTTTAGGGCCTAAGCCATTTTGGGGGCCTGAAATATGAGGAATCTATCAGGAGACGGTTAGGATCTAAGGTCAGTTACATGGTCCCTAGAACCGTCCCGTACCTTCTTCAAAGGGTTCGGGGGTAAAAAAGGCGTCCCCATCTAAGGGCCCATACAGGTACCATGTATCTAATTATGTGGGTTGGTGGTCTCTTTAAGTAGAGTTTCTGTTTTAGAGGGCATTTATTCGGGGTTCTTATTTGGGTATCTAAGGGACATATTGAGGTATAAAGGGTAGCAGATAAAGAGGCCACCGGCCTGTATAATACCCTCAACCCCAAAACCCAAAACCCTAAACCCTAAACCCTAAACCCTAAACCCTAAACCCTAAACCCTAAACCCTAAACCCTAAACCCTAAACCCTAAACCCTAAACCCCTGCAACCCTCAACCCCCTAGAGCCCCCAACCACATCTGGGAGGTGCAGGCGGTCGAAGCCCTGGAGGTGGAGTTGAAAGCCGCCGGGTACCGCCGGCGAGACTTTGGGGACGACAGGGTTTAGGGTTTAGGGTTTAGGGTTTAGGGTTTAGGGTGTAGGGTTTAGGGTTTAGGGTTTAGGGTTTCGGGCTCCAGGGCTGGAACGACTTCAGCGTTAAGGTAAGGAGCTATTTTTTGGGGTTTGGGGTTTGGGGTGTTTGGGCTGTTTGGGCTGTTTGGGCTGTTTGGGCTGTTTGGGCTGTTTCGGGTTAGGGTTTGGGGTTTAGGGTGTAGGGTTTAGGGTTAGTTTGGGGTTTAAGGGGTATCCTTTTTCATTTTTGTTGGTTCACAATTCCCTCATAAAGTAACCAACCCAAACAAGTTCACCCTTGTCATAGTATGGTTATCAAGTTTGGGGTTAGGGGTTAGGGGTTTTCGAGGGTTTAGTAGGGTCGAAAATGTTGGAACTTGAGGGTTTGGATTTCTTGTTTTTTGGGGGGAGTGGGGGGGACAAGGGAACCACCAAGAACTTGAGCGGCTGGAGTTCTTACTGCATTTGACCCCGAAACTGGGGAATCCTTCACGTTTTGCTCCTTGGTGTTGGGTGGCTGCTGTTGTTGGCCCCGTACATTCTCGGGCACCCCTGGGCCTAAACCCTAAACCCTAAACCCTAAACCCTAAACCCTAAACCCTAAACCCTAAACCCTAAACCCTAAACCCTAAACCCTAAACCCTAAACCCTAAACCCTAAACCCTAAACCCTAAATCCAAATCCCTCTTTAGTGTGGAGAAAAAACAGGGCTGACCCGAAAACCTATTCCCAAAACCCTAATCTAGGGGCCGTAATAGTTAGAATAGGGCTTCGGGGGGATTTTCGTAGTATATTTGTATAGGCACCATAAGGGAAGGCTACTAGAGTTTTTTCCGGCCTCTATTGTAATCCCTGACCCCCAAACCCTAAACCCGAAACCCTTAACCGCCCCAATCCCTAACACCCGAGCCCTCATCCACCCCTAAACCCTAAACCCTAAACCCTAAACCCTAAACCCTAAACCCTAAACCCTAAACCCTAAACCCCCCCAAACTCAGAGCGCCAGGCGCAAGTGCTCCCGGCTCCATGTGAAGCGTGCCTTCCACTCCGGCTTGATCGCCAAGGCCGATGCGCAAAAGGGCTTAGGGTTTAGGGTTTAGGGCTAGGGTTTAGGGTTTAGGGTTTAGGGTTTGGGGTTTGGGGTTTAGGGTTTAGGGTTTAGGGTTTAGGGATCCAGGGCACTTGGGTCATAAAGGCCGGTGGCCTCTTTATCTGTTACCCTTCTACCTTCAAAAAGCTCTAGATGCCCTAATAATACGGACCTTCCACAAAACAGAAACCCTACTTACAGAGACCACCAACCAATATACCGCTTGGGCTCAGGGGTGGATGAGGGCTCAACCTAGAACCCTAAGCTTTAACCTGTAACCCTAACCCCTAAACCCTAAACCCTTAACCCTCAAACCTAAACCCTATTGAGAGGGGAGGGGGGGGGGGTGGGGGGGTGAGACTGCTGGAGCAGATTCCGGCTTGATGTTGGTTTGTTCTGGGCTTGTTAATTCACCGATGGAAACCCCTTTTTCTAGTGGGTTTGGGGTTTAGGGTTTAGGGTCAGGGTTTAGGGTTTAGGGTTTAGGGTTTCGGGTTTAGGGTTTCGGGTTTCGGGTTTCGGGTTTAGGGTTTAGGGTTTACGGTCTTGCTGTGCTTCGTAGCGGTGGGACATCTGTATAAGGTTGGGCGGACCTTGGGTTTGACTAGCTGGCTTCTTGGGTTCAGGAGGATCTTATATTATATATGTAAACTTTCTTTTTAGAAAGTTTTTTAAGGGATTCTCAGACGACTTTTCAACTGGATACTGTTTTGTTAGACATGTGTAAAAATTAGTAACCAGTTGCAACAGAAAGTTTTCTGAGGGATTCACAATCTGGGATGATGGTCTAGTTCCCCGCGGAGGTGGAAACAAGTGGGTTGAGCCTTCTGGATTTTGAGGTTTGGGGGCTTGACGGGGTTGGAGAGCTTCTTTGTGTTCCTTAGAATCTCGTTTTGGGGTTTAGGATTTAGGGATTAGGGTAAAAGAACACAAATATTACATCCTACACTGCTCCACTACAAAACCCCCCTAAATCCCTCAACACCTAAAACCTCCTTGAATAAAACAGGTAGGCCCTCTGGGATATGTTCTATTTTCCCTTGTTGGGTTTAAGAGGATCGTATTCAGGCTTTCAGAGGCTTTAAGGGGCCAACCCTAGGCTACAATCCCCATTTGGGTATATAGGGTTTAGGGTTCAGGACTTAGGGTTTCAGGTTTAGGGCCTAGGTTTAGGGTTTAGGGGTCTTGTAGTCCCCAGATACACATAGGATAACCTACCAGTTGTTGTTGTTAACGAAAAAGACGACAGACTGAGACCAGGAAGGTTGTCTAGACGCCACCCGTCCGACTGACAAGCAGGAGCCCGCTTTGCGGGGCCCGCCCAAAAGTAGCCAAGCATGAAAAGCCCGGCGCCACCAAAACAAATTCCAAGCCAGCACGCAGATCGACGACGCCAGCCAGGCATGCACCCTGAGCCGAGGAAGCTCAGGCGCCCCCGCCCGACAGGAGACTGTTGTTAGCAGCTGCCTCGCTCCTGTCACCACCTGGTTGCCACTGCAGGCCATCACGGCCGTCCCCGCCGAAGTCCGAAAACACCGTGCAGTCGGAAGCCATGCTCTCCACACTCTCAATACTGAGTCGACGACCCATCTCCGGCTCCTCGTCGACGCCGACGCCATCACCATCCTTGGCATCCAAACACTGCCGCTTGCCGGGGGGGGGTCAGGCCCGTGTGGCCGCGCTCAAACGTTGGAGTCGTAGTCCTTCTCGGGGTGCTTGCGCCCTCCACAGCGGGCTCAGCAGTCTCGGCGTCCCCAGCCGATCCTTGGTGAGCCTCGTCTGCAACCTGCTCTTTATTGGCACTGCTGACAGCAGCCGCTGCTCGAGCTGCCTTCTTGCGTTGCCTCTTGAGCCGACGCTTGGCCCTGACCGCCTCACGCCGCTCCTCCTCACTCTTTTCCACGACGGCCTCATGCGCCGCCGGGCCTCTGGCAGTCTCGCCCCGGACTGTGCTCGGTGCTGCCTCCGCAGGTCTCATGAGAACAGAGACAACTGCTGCTGCAACGCCTTGCACCGTGCGGCGGGGGGCCTTGGCCAGACAAGCTGCTCGGACCGCTGCTGCCACAAGGGCCGCTGGGTCCGGCGCAACCATTGCTCCTATAGCTGCGACACCGCAGGAGACCTACGGGGGAACTACCGCAGCCTGCACTCGCTCGAGCCTTTAGGATAACCTACCAAAAGCCCATTACTCACGAAATAAGCTCTTACACATGTTGAAGCTTCGTAGGCCCAAACAAGGCACAGCTGTATTTCTAGGGTGGGACTCCTAAACCCCCCAAGCCCTAAGCCCTGAACTTCTCAGCCCCTAAACCCTAAACCCTAAAACCTGTGGCACGCAGGCAGCAGACACCTTGCGAAACCTTGGCACGGCCGAAGAAATGCCCAAGTCCAAGCGTTTCCTTCTTGGCCGCAAGGGGTCCGATTTGGTCAGTTCTCGTTGGGCATCCGCAGGGGCTTTAGCCCTAAACCCTCAGCCCTAAACCCTAAACCCTAAACCCTAAACCCTAAACCTTAAACCCTAAACCTAAACCCCTAGGGGGGTTTAGGGTGTTGGGGTGACCTAAACCTTGAATCCTAAACCCTAAACCCTAAGCCCTAAACCCTAAATCTTTCTTCGTAGAGAACTGACCAGTTTTGATTGATGGCGAGCTCGGGCTTGGGGAGGGCAAGGTTGCTGGTTCGACTCTTAGACTTCGAGTTCAGGGCGGTTTAGGGTTTAGGGTTTAGGGCCGTTTAGGGTTTAGGATTTAGGGTTTAGGGTTTAGGGTTTAGGGTTAGGGTTTAGGGTTTAGGGTTTAGGGTTTAGGGTTTAGGCTTTAGGGTTTAGGGTTTAGGGTTTAGGGTTTAGGGTTCAGGGCGGTTTATGGTTCGTTTGATGGCACTTGCGATCCTGATGCCTCGCGATGCCGTGAGCTAAGCCAGGCCTGGCCATTAGGCCTCCCCCGCCCCCCACCCAATAGAGAAGTACGCAAACCCCATTCAACGAAAAGGGTTTAGGGTTTAGGGTTTAGGGTTTCGGGACGCCCCAGACCCTGACCCGAAACCCGGAACCGTGTTCTTTGCTAGGTTTCTGAGAGAATGTCGACGCAGAATCCTCATCCTTAAAGCCCTATAAGTCCTAAACCTTAATACCCTAAACCTTAAAACCCTAGACCCCAATTAAACCTTAAACCCTAGACCCCAATTACACCCTAGGCCCTAGACCCCAATTAAACCCTAAACCCTGAACAGGCTTTAGGGTTTAAGTGTTTTGCTTTTTCTGGGCAGGACTTAGGGTCTTTTGTAGGGCTTAGGCGATTCGAGAGTGAAAGGATTCCGGATGTGGGTTTTGGGTTTTGGGTTTTAAGTTTTGGGGAAAAGCCGCTCCCCCCTCAGCCCTGAACCCTTCCCTCCTCAACCTCCGCCATCGCCTCAGGCAGGGAATCGAGACACTGCCCGTCGTACTGAGCCCAGTTTAGGAAGGAGGCTGGGGAGGGTTTAGGGTTGAGGGTTCCAAGTTCAGGGTACAAGGGAACCCTAAACCCTAAACCCTAAACCCCTAACTCCCTAAACCCTGAACCCTGAACCCTGAGCCCTTGTTTGTGAGCCGTTCAGGATATGGGATGCTTTCGGCTCCTCTCCATGCGTTGTTATCTTCAAGTTGATGAGGAAGGTATAGAGTGAGATTAAGTCGCATTTCTCATCCGGGTTTTGCTTGCAGTCGTATGCCTTCGTTGGGCGAGTTAGCTGCAACTTTGGCCAGCAGCGTAGTCGCCGGGTTTAGGGGCACAACTACAAAATTCAAATTCATTTCCACTTACACTGACCTTCTTCATAGATGGTCACTTCTCAAAACTATGGTTCCTTGCGGGGTCCTTAATGATAAGGCGGCCCCTATTATTTACGGTACCCAAAACGGGACCATAACTTCGAGAACTGACCCTATGACGAGAAACGTGCGACATGATTTTCAACGGCGGACGATCATCTCGTGGGTTTCCTGTGCTCCGAGGGGCAGGGTTTAGGGTTGAGGGTTTAGGGGTTTATGGGTTTAGGGGCTTAGGGGCTTAGGGGCTAGGGTGCCCCCAAAACCCTAAGCTCTAATCCCCAAACCCCTAAGCTCCTCAAAAATACACAGTTTACTGTAGTGTTCCCTAAACCCTAAACCCTAAACCCTAAACCCTAAACCCTAAACCCTAAACCCTAAACCCTAAACCCTATTAGGGTTTTATTGAGGGCTTAGCCTTCACCATGCAGGGTACTGTACCGGTTTGGAACGGTTTGCTTTGCCTCAAGGCCCTGAAGACTGAACCCTACTTGGAAGCTCTTTTGACTTAGTAAGTCTAGTTAGTATCCCCTAGAATCCTATTCTAATCCCCCGAACCCACCTTACTAAATCTTACTAACCCTAAACCCCAAGCCCCAAACCCTAAACCCAAAACCCTAAGCCCTAAGCCCTAAACCCTAAACCCTAAACCCTAAGCCCTAAGCCCTAATCCCTAAGCCCTAAGCCCTACTTACTAAGTCAAAAGGGCTTCCAAGCAAACCCTACAACCCCGAAAGCCCAGGCGTCGAACCTGACTGGACAGTGGCTCGGGCAAGCACAGATGAAGGACCCGTCTCGGGTTTCGGGTTTATATAGGGTTTAGGGTTCAGGGTTTCGGGTTTAGGGTCTGGGGTTTTTGGTTTAGGGGGACCCTTGTTGGACCGGAGGTCTCAGGCTTGAGGATTTGGGCTTTGCGGGTTTGACTTTAGATGCTGTCAGGGTTTTCATCGATTTGGGGACGGTTAGGGCTTAGCAGTTGAGGGTGTTTATAGAGCTTTGCCGCTTTTGCATCACCCGGAACCCTAAACACTAAGCCCCCAAACCCTAAACCCTAACCCTAAACCCTAAACCGCTTCTGCGGCCCTGCTCTTTGCACCTGGGGCAGCGGGGAGGACGGCCAATACTGGACGAAGCACATGCGTGGGACAGCGGGGGCCCCAGTGGCATCATCTGGCTGGACTTGGGGACTATGGGTTCAGTCTAGGGTTCAGGGTTGAGGGTTTAGGGTTTAGGGTTTAGGGTTTATAAGGCACAAGCAGTTTACCTGATGCCCTGAAACGTTACGGTTATGTGTTTACACATATGTATGTGTAGCATATGTATGTAAATGGCGTGCACAAGCGTGATACTCGGGGGTCCAGGCTAGGTTCGGTTCACGTGTGCCTCAAGTGTCTCAGCTTGTCGGAATTCGGTGTAGGTGCCCCGTGGGTCCTGTGCAAGCTTCGACACTTGTCGTTCGCTTGAAAGTGTGAGTGGACACGTGCGGACTGCTTTGCGCTCTTACTATTCGCATGCTCCGGGCACTCAGTTCTTGTGACTTCAACTTGCACCCTAGCCACACAAGTTGGCTTCAGTTTGTTGAGTTATCTGTATTCGCATCGCCGTCAGACATTGCAGTGGACGTCTCAGCAGTTTGTTTGTGGACGTAGAAGGGCAGTCGGTCCTTGAACATTTCTTCTGCCTGCGAAACCGAAATCCTTTCTTTGATTGGCGCAATGTTGGCCGATGTTGGCCTTTCTTACAAAAGCATTCGAAACTTTGCCTGTTGGCTGAGGCTGAGCAGTTTTGGGTTTGGGGTTCAGGGTTTAGGGTTGAGGGTTGAGGGTACTGAGAATCCAGAAAGAAGCTTCATAAGCCATGCAACTCGTAAGCTCGGCCCAGACCGGCTGCTCTTTGCTGCAGCTGCCTCTAGCTGTTGCTGAGGGCAAGGCAGTTCGCCCTCGCGATTGTGTTCTAAACCCTAAACCCTGCACCCTGAGCCTTAAACCCTAAACCCTAAACCCTATTCAGAGTTTCCATTCGAGCTCCAAAGGTCCTTTGGCGGGAGAACGCCGAGAGGCTCATGTCGCAGTGGCGACCGGCCATTGTTCTGGAGGCAGAGGGTTCTAGGAAGTCCGGAAGCCCCTCAATCTCCAGGACAGAGGCTTCGAAGTTTAGGGTTTAGGGGTTCTAGGACGCAGAGTAGGGCCTCGTTCCCTTTGTTTCGGGTTTAGGTTCACTTGTAAACCCCTGTAAACCAAAAAGGGCACCCGTATTCCTCCGTCTGGGGTTGAACCTGATAACTAACTTGCTCTTGGGTCTATATGGTCATGTCTCGAAATCATGGTCCGTTTTTGGGTACCCTAAATAAGAGGGGCCGCTGTATCATGTGAACCCTAGAAGAGACCATCGTTCAGAGGAGTGACCAAATAGGGAGCAATCCAGCCATGTGCCGCGGCTGTTTGAAGGTGCCATAACAACCTCCTCGGCCGTATGAATCAGCAACCGTCTTTTCAATGGACATATCTGTCCGAAGCTGCGCTGTGCGCTGTCTAGGCCTACGGCCCCCCAGTGCCTACTTGGAGGTTCAGCGTACTTCTAACCCACTTACAACTGTAGCTACAACCCATTTAGAAGCCACTTAAGTAGCCTATTGCGGTTATATCTGGGTGATAAGTACAGTTAATATTTGGGTTACTAAGTACCATGAACCTCCAAGTACAGGAAGCAGCCCATTTGAGCCAGGTGGGGCCAGGCAACGTGCTCAGCACACTGACCTCCAAGTGCGCCCGGGCCTCATCGATTATTTGAATCATCAGTGGCACTAACGGTTTAGGGTTAGGGGGGTTTAGCGGGGGGTAGGGCTTAGGGTTTAAGTGAACCCTAAATCCTAAACACCTAAATTAGGGATCAGGGCGTTTTTCGGCGGGTCAGAACAGGGTTGAGGGCTTGCGGCTTAAGACTAAAGGCCCCATTTGCCCACATGTGCAAGGGTCAACACAAAGCGACGGGGAACACCGAAAAATGCGAGGCCGCTTACGGTACCCATAGCAAAAACATCAGCCCATCGCTATGATTGGTACATATTGGTACTGACAGCCGGCCGGAAACACAAACCCCTGTAAAGCGACTGGTTCCAGTTCCTAAACCCTAAACCCTAAACCCTAAAACCCATAACAAAACCATCAAGAACCCTCGTAAAGCGACGGGGCACACCGAAAAGCGACGCGACCTAGGCCCGACATACGAGGGTTTTGACGGTCGCTCACGTAGGAACCCTATAAACCCTAAACCAACCCTAAACCCTA